GAGGCCAATATGGACCTCCCTGCTCTGGTCAAAGTCTGTACAGGGGTCTAATCCAAGCAGCAGAAACAAGCAGAAGTTCCCTCTCCACCTTCCCATCCACACACAAGTACACACATAGGTCCATGCACATACTTGCTCTGCTGTGCACATACACCGAGTGTGCATGTGTGTGCACTCTCGCACACACAGACATACACAAACTCACAGCCTCTCCCATCCATCCTTCACCCCTGAAAAGGAGGCCAGTGTCTTCAGTCCAGCAAAGCCACCTGCAGTCAGCAAAGCCACCAGGACCAGCATGTGTTGCTCTCGGCTTGTGCGTGGACTTGTTTATTTCCTGCCTCCCCCAGCCTGAAACGGCTAAAATATCACCGTAGGCCGGCAGCCCACACACCAGAGCCAGCTCTAGCTGTCGCCTGGCCTCCTGAGTAACTCTAGCCAGAACCCCTGGGGAGGAGGGACCCGCAGAGAACCCATGTATTTATAAAACCCATGGAAAATCACGTGTATATACACTGCTAGGGAGTCGAAAGGCAAAGAATTGTCAGCAGTGAGTGATTTCATTTTAGGCATTTCACTCTCTGTTAAGTTATTTAAATGTTCAATGATGTTGTTTAAGTGGACATAGATGTTTGCACGGGAAGTTGAAAATCGGCAGCGATATCGCTGACCGAAGAGGGCTGGTCATTTGAGCAGGCACAGAAGCAGGAGTCCAAGTCGGAAAAATTTTAGAAGCTGCTGCCTGCTCACCCATCATTGAGTCCAGATGCTGGGAGAGGTCAGCAAAGGCCTGTGGCTCAGGCTGCCCTGGCTGGCCGCTCGGTGGGGTGGCCCTGACTCCAGGCCTTGTGCCCCACTGTTGCTGGGCAGATCCTTCACATTCTATTTTATGTTTCTGCTTGTACCGACAATAGATGCTTACTATTAAAGAATTCAAGGAATATATAAAAATCACACAAAAAAGAAGATAAAAGTCACAAGAAGTCCTATCATGAAGAGTCACATGAAGTCCTGAGATAAACAATATTCACATCTTAGGAAATATCTTTTTGGGGCACTGCTTTGCATTAATGCCACCCACCCACACAGTTATTTTAACTTCCTATTTATTTGATGGAGGAGCCTCTCACCTCCCTTTTCTATGTCTACCGTGCCCCCCGCCCCCCCAGTAACCAAAGTAAACAACTTGGTGTGCCCCTCCCAAACCTCTCCTCACATAACATAAAGACACACACGCATGCCTGTTTTTCTCACTCTTCAGAATTTCTAAATATGGCGTAATGTCACGTACTTTGCCTCCTGCTTTTCTCATGTAATGGCGTGTTGTAAAAAATCCTCTTAGCCTCACTGGTAAAGACCTAGCACATTTTTAAAAATAGTTGTATAATATTTTAGAGACTTTTAGAGTGTGGATTTATTCACAATTCTCCAAATGGTGATCAATTACAAAGCTTGTTTTTGGTTTTTGCTGCTTCGACTTCCACTGAAATTAACGTTTTGATATTTCATATATTTCTATATAATGATGCTTTATTAGTCTGTGAGAGTTTCATAAAGTGGGAGATAAATCAAAGGGTATGTATAATTTTTAATTTTAATAGAACTTGACTGATTGCTTGTAAAAGGTCGGTAATATTTCATATTTTATTTGTTCAGTAAATATTTATTAAGCTCTTACACAATGCCAAGCACTGTTTTAGCAATTAGAATTCAACAAGGGTCCCAGACCTCCTGGAGGTTTCATGGAGTGGGAAGAACATGAAATGACAACAATTTTAATAAATACTTTTGTACCAGAAATGTAGGCAAACACAATTATCCCTTGCTTTACTATCAACAATTGGTATTATTATTCTTTGCATTTTTCCCCAGTTTATTCCTGTAATTTGATATTTTATTATCTTAATTTTCATTTTCCCCATCAGTAAGTAATTTTAACATTTTTTTCCATGTCTATTTAGCTATTTGGCTTTGTGTGGGGTGAATTGCCTATTTATAATCGTCTATTTTTTCTATTGAGTGGGTTGTATGCTAGACCCATACTTTTTGTCAATGTTCATAAGCTCTGTGTATACTGTAAATATACATTTATCCGCTGTGTGCTTTGCAAACCTTTCCCCCAATCTATTGCTTATCTGCTGACTTCATGATGGTTTACTTTAACATGTAATGCCTTTCATGTTAGTGAATTTATCTTTTTGTTATGACTTCTTTTTGTCCTCTCAGCTTCTGCCTCTTCTATCTCTGTCAATTCTTATCTCCAAACTCTGGTTCAATGAAATGCTTCCTAAATTTTCTTCCAAATAATTTTACTTTTTATGTTCTTCTTTAATACACCTGCAATTTATCTTTTACTGTGGGGTTTAAGGTAGGGGTCCAATTGTACTTTTCTAGGTAGATAGCCATTGTCCCAATTCCATTTATTAAAGTAAATCCTCAATTCTCCACTGAATTAAAGTGCCACCGTTTACAGTTCCCGTATGGACTGGAATCTGTTTGCATCTCATTGTTCTGCTCCGCTGAGTATCTGTCTATTCCTATTCCAATTTCATGCTGTTTTGATTAGTCTTCTTTTTCATCATTTTAAAAGTTAGGTTTAAAAATTACAGTTTTATCCAATTGAAAACTATAATTTTATTCATTTATATTAGGAATAAGAAAGATGCCATAATCACGAAACAAAACAGATTGAAATAATTATAAGACAATGCTGTGTAGAAGTTTTGGAAACAAATTGGAAAATGTGGAGGAAATCAAATATCTTCTATAAATCACATAAGACATCCAAATGGTGCAAGGAGGGGAGAAATGGGAACAGATAAAATCAGTGTGTGTCTGAAAGATAAATTTCTGAAGAAGAAATTTGAAAAGTATTTAATGGCCTACTATTTAAAGGGGCCCGAGAAACAGATGACTTATTGGCTAAGTTCTATCTAGCCTTTAAAGAACAGGTAGTCCCAAGTTATTTTTACTATTCAAAACCAAAGGCAAAAAGACAGAAGGCTCCTTGGTATATGTTATGAAGTTATGAAGCCAGCATCATCCTAATGGCTAACACCTCATAGACAAATCCCACTTGGGAACAGAGATTCTCATTTGAAATAAAATATTTACAAAACCTATCCATCCATATGTCAAAACCACTAATGTACAGTAACCAACAGCTTCTACTCCAAAAATACAAGGATGCTTTTATAACAGAAAATGTGTCAACATAATTCATTATATCAACAAATTTTAAAAAGACTGTCATATTAATAGACACTAAGTAGACACCTTATAAAATTTAGTAGCTATTCCTAATATAAACCCATGATCCCTTATCTAAAATTCTGATACCCCAGTATCTCTGAAAACTAAAATGTTGACCTGTAACTTTGCACCATATTTTGTCTGATGTTAAAGTTGATCTGAACTGACACAAAGTAACTACTTAAATACAGAAAGTGTTATTTTTTTTTTACAAATGTACAGTATTATATGTTCTGTAGGCAAAGCACACTCAAAAATAGTGTGGATTATTTGTGGCTCTCTGTTCTATATTCAAAATTATTATAGTCTTTTCTTTTCTTAAGTTGAGTTTAAGGAGAAATACTATGAGGCATGTACTAGTATCTTTAACTCTCCGGAAAAACAGCAACACATTACCATGTTTCATTGAATCTAAGACACCATTACTTAGAAGGCTAGCAGTTATTTTATGTATCACCAAAAGAGAAAAAAACATGCTGCTAATTATAATATGAGCCATCATCAATTGTAAAACATATTCCATTTTCAGAGATACTGAAATATAAAGAAGGTGTATCTCAGGACCTATGAAATATGGTGCAGACAACCAAAGGCAATCAGGAGTCTACCAGAGACCACGTGGCTGGTCAGGACTCAAGGTCCCTTCCTCTATCGATGTCCGGGTCTTGGGGAGGACCCAGGTGTGAGGAGGAGTGTGGTGGTCTGGGGTCAGCCAGGCTTCAGAGTTGCTCTGTATTGATTAGTTGTTTGATCATGAAACAGCTATTTAATGCCTCAAACCACAGTCCTGGCTGGGATAGTGCTGGGATGGTACTAACACCTGCTTACACTTATTTAGAGAGTTGAAAGTGGGATATGAGATAGGGCTTGTGACATTCCTGGTCCAGAGTAAGCCCTCCCTCAACAGCAGCCCCTGGAATGAGGGTGGTGGTGAGAGTGGCCAGAATCTAGGCAGTGATGGCGAACCTTTTGTGCTCGGCGTGTCAGCATTTTGAAAAACCCTAACTTAACTCTGGTGCCGTGTCACCTATAGAAATTTTTTGATATTTGCAACCATAGTAAAACAAATATGTATATTTTTGATATTTGTTTTATATATTTAAATGCCATTTAACAAAGAAAAATCAACCAAAAAAATGAGTTCGCGTGTCACCTCTGACACACGTGTCATAGGTTCGCTATCACTGACTAGGGTGTTTCCCACATCTGTCATCCTGTGATTCCCCGATATTCCTGGAGAAGCTGCAATTGGCCTTAGACGCCTGTGCTATCTGTGTGCCCTAAATTTATGAAGTCTGACCCGAATATCTGAGTTGGCAAGGACCTGACACGCCCTAACGGGTCACGAGAGGAAGTGTGACTTTCCCGGGTGATGCAGGCAGTGGCAGATGACAACTAAGACCTAGACACTGGACACATTGGTCAGACTCTTTCCAGATGCCAAGACTCCTACCCTGAGGAGGTGGGATGAGGGGTGGAGTCCACTCTAGGAGTTTATAATCTCTGTGTCCCAAGTCCAGTCATTTCTCCTCTCTGGGCTACTTCTCCCTGCTCTGGGGAAAAAAGATGGATGCAAGCTTAACCCACCAACCCCATTCTAACTTCATGTCTGAACTTTGACCTTCACCATCCCCCACGTCCACCCCATCTCTCTAATTGGCCACCGGGAAGGAGTTTAGGGGAGCTCTTCCGTTCGGAGGCTCTGAAGACCTGCTCACATCACCAATCTGCTGTGTGTTCTCCGACAGGATGGGAGTGGTGAGCAGCAAAAAGCAGGTCAAGGAGAAGAGTAAGGGCCAATGGAGCCCTATGAAGGTCAGCACCCACAGCAGAGAGCCCCCACCACTGCCACCCCTGGTGAGTGATCGCTTCTCCCAGCTGGAGAGGGAGGGGGAGGAGGGAGAGCACAGAGCACGTGAGGCTCCCTGGGGGCTGCTCCCAGTCTCCAGCAAGTCCCAGTGCCCTCTCTTGATAACCCAGGGCTCCCACAAATAGGCCCCCAACTCCAGTGCCACCTGAGTTCATATTGTTGTTACAGATTGTAAAATATTTAACCGCCAGATTGCTGGAATTTAAACCTGTTAGCTGTACCTTTGAAGCAGGTTTCTTAACTCCCTTTAGCCTCAGTTTCCCCACCTGTAAAGTGGGTAGAATAAAAGTGCCTTTCTGATGGGGATGTAACAATATGCCATGTAGATACAAGTATGCAGTGCTATAATGTATTACCTTTAGCACAGAACTGTGCGTGGTTCGCCCCCAATAATTCTTAGCCAGTTTTCATTGGGCAAGGGCAGCCTTGAAGAGACAGGAAAATCAAAGAGGTCAGCTGAGGAAAGGGTGTGGTGGGGGAGAGTCTAGGGCAGTGATGGCAAACCTTTTGAGCTCGGCGTGTCAGCATTTTGAAAAACCCTAACTTAACTCTGGTGCCGTGTCACATATAGAAATCTTTTGATAATTGCAACCATAGTAAAACAAAGATGTATATTTTTGATATTTATTTTATATATTTAAATGCCATTTAACAAAGAAAAATCAACCAAAAAGATGAGTTCGCGTGTCACCTCTGACACGCGTGTCATAGGTTCGCCATCACTGGTCCAGGGCATTTAGCAATATCTGCTGCTCTCAACTCTATCCAGAAGCTCCTGGATCATTGTCCCCTTCCTGGTGTGCCAGCATTCCAAAGAGCTCACTCCCGTGGGACGAGGCAACCTAAGACGGGAGGGTGCTTATACTCACCTCCCCGACAGGCCCTCGAGTGTTCATGGAGCCTGTCTCAAAGTTCTGGTTTGTTCACAAAGTAGTTAGCTCCCTTTCATGCTACTGGTTCCTAAAGATGCATTTTTAGATGACTGTCTGTGTCCCCCCCATCTGGCCACCTACCCCCTTTTGATTTGGGGCAATTGGAAGTCAGGCCTGGACTCCTCTTTCCTGCTCTCTCTCTACCCCCCGCCAGGCACATCCAAATAGTCATCACTTCATCCCAACTGTGACCTAATAAGAGCGGTGACCACTATTCCCATTTCTTAGATAAACCAGGCATCTTATCAGTGTCCCAACTTAGTGCAGGGCTTGGCATGTAACAATGAAATGTTTGTTGAATAAATGAATGATCAAAGGGCCATCGATTAATTCTTGATTTATCCGACTGAGAAATTACTCAATAGGACTTAGATTCAATAACTTCTTCAGAGTTACATGCTAATAAGTAGTAGAGCCTGCAATATTTTTAACTTTTAAAAAGTCACATAATACATATCAATTATGAAAAAAAATTATAAGTATTCATTATCCCACTAGCCAATGATACCCGGAGTTAGCATTGCACAGGTCCTGCCTCCAGACCCTTTTCTTTTTTTAATTCTTTATTGCTTAGACCAGTGATGGCGAACCTATGACACACGAACTCATTTTTTTGGTTGATTTTTCTTTGTTAAATGGCATTTAAATATATAAAATAAATATCAAAAATAGAAGTCTTTGTTTTACTATGGTTGCAAATATCAAAAAATTTCTATAGGTGACACGGCACCAGAGTTAAGTTAGGGTTTTTCAAAATGCTGACACACCGAGCTCAAAAGGTTCGCCATCACTGGTTTAGAGTATTACATACGTCTCCTTTTCCCCCCATTGACCTCTCCCCAGCCGTTCCAACCCCCCAGCACATGCCCTCACCCCAGACGCCTTTCTTGTGTGTTATTTATGTGCTTATATTTTTAGTGGAACCATAATACTATACATACCATTTTGCAAACTGCTGCTTCAAATTTGTGTTTAATAAATACCAAAAAAAAAAAAAGGATTATTGATTACAGGTTGAAGGCAGGAGAATAAAATGAACACTTAGTGCAGCCCCTCCCATCCTCAGAATTAGAAAGTGACCCATCACACAGAAGGCCTCTGCTGTCCCCCAGTCTGTCCCCTCGCCCCAGGCCCCACCATTCTGATGTGCTTACTCCTTAGCTTTGCTTCCTCTGTAGCATCCTATATGCATATATTCCTGAACACTATTTAATTTAATTTTGCATGTTGTGAACTTTAAATCAAATGAGTCCAACAGCAAGGATTCTTCTGAGATGTGGGTTTCAGATCTGTGTTTTTCATTGGGAGCATCATCCAATGATGCATGTAGCTATAGCTCTTTAGCTGCCACAGCTGTGTAGGATTGATTGCATGCATATGCCCCAATTTATCTATTCTTTGGTCATTGGTCATGTAATTATTATTATTATTATGTGTTTCTGTTGGGAGCAATGTTGCACATATTTCCTAGTGCACATATGCAAAAGTTTCTCTACAGGGTATATACGTAGGACTATATTAGTTAAGTTTTAAGGAAATACATTTTAAAAATATATTTTTATTGATATCAGAGAAAAAGGGAGATGGAGAGATAGAAACATCCATGATGAGAGAGATACATTTTAAAAATAATTTTTCTTAAGAAAATTCATCATTTAATGGCAGAGGCAGGATTTTAAGCCAGGTGATGGGGTGTCCCCCCCTCCCCCCGACCACCACATCCATTCCACAGCTGCCTCTTACAGAGTTGGGCATCCCTACATACCCCTCCTCTAAATGTATATATAAGGTCCAGGCAAAGATGACAGGTGATCCGGGGCTTATTCGAGATGGCACTGGTACCTGTGCAAACTCCTGTGCCAACAGGGCAGCTCCCACACTCACAGCAGCCTCACCCACCGCCCTGCAGGCCCTGCCCAGCCACGGGCCTTGAACTAATGCAGAGGGCATGTGTTTCTGCTCCAGGTCCTGTTTAACCACCTGGCTCCTGCACCTCCCGACACACACCCGGATCAAGGTAAGAAGGGGCTGCTTTGGAAGCTGAGGCTCCTCAGGCCTCCCCAGGCCCCAGATTTATGCAGTTAGAACAGGGGCTCAGTCGGGACAGCTTCCTGGAGAGGAAGGTGTGTGGGCCCCTAGAGTCTTAGGGGAGACGGCTAGGGGAGGCTGAGGGAGGAGCCTGTGGCCCAGCTCTGACCCAGCCTCGCCTGCCCTTGGGGGCCTCTCCGGCAGCCAGGCACCGGCTCCTTTAATGTACCTCGGTGGGCATTTGTAAAGGACTTTACAAACTACAGATGAGCACAAAAAGACAAGAGTTACAGTGAATACAAACAGCACCATGAAACCCAGGCTTTCAAAGAGCTAACTCCCAACCTCAGAGGGTGAGGACCATGGTTCTGAGTCCTCCCTCCCAGCCCTCAGTCTGTTGCTGTTTGAATTACCACCCTGTTCCTCACTTTCAAAAGTCCCCTGCTGACCTTCTAACCACTCACTACACCCTCCCGCACCCATCTCCACTTGCACTTTGGTGGGCAGGACTATAGAGGTGACTCCGGCCTTCCTGAGTCAGGGGCTCAGACCTCAGGAGGGTCTCAGGGGATGGTGGCCTCACTCTGAAGTGGCGTAGGGGAGAGCAGAATGCCGGCCTGGGCCTACGCCATTCATTCACTCACTCACTCACACAGAAGGCACTGAGCAAACAGGACCCAGAGCTGGCTGTGTCCAAGGACTGGGGAAGCTGTATAAGACGTGGCTCCTCTCTGCAAGAACTCAGAGTCTGTCAGACTCATGAGCAAGGTGTTGGAGCCGGGGTAGTGACCTCACCTGGTGTCTCTCGTGCTGTTGGGGATCACAATTAATTAGCTTCAGGGCCATCCTCCACTTCCTGCCAGAGGGGGCAAATTTCCAGGAAGAAAGTCTAGGTCAGCGGTTCTCAACCTGTGGGTCGCGACCCCTTTGGCGGTCGAACGACCCTTTCACAGGGGTCGCCTAAGACCATCCTGCATATCAGATATTTACATTACGATTCATAAGAGTAGCAACATTACAGTGATGAAGTAGCAACGAAAATAATTTTATGGTTGGGTCACAACATGAGGAACTGTATTTAAAGGCCCAGAAGGTTGAGAACCACTGGTCTAGGTGAAGGAAATAAACTAACTGCTTTTGGTACAGGAATTTGAATCTCAGAACCAGAGGGGCCTTTGTCATCTTCTCCAATCCCCTCTTCCCAGCATGGGAAGGTGACCAGCCCAAGGTCACGCCAAGCATTAGAGACATCACTCTCGGGGAAGCTAGGTGGTCTCCAGGAGACCTTTTCCAGGTGAGCCTTGGCTCCTCACAGCTGTGCAGAAAAGCCCTCATCAGTTGAGAGATGTCATGCAAGCTCCGGAGCCCTCTCTCCACCTCTGTCTTAGGGACCACCAGCAAGCAGGGGGCTGCCAGCCAGAAGCACCATGATGGGACCCTGGCATGGCTGCAGGTCCCTGTTCCAAGACCACTGCTCCCTTTGGAGCAGAGGCTGGAAGGGACAGGTGGGGATGGGGAAGAGAGGAGAAGCTCACATGCCTCCAGGAGATAAGGGATCAGCCCACACTAGTTTCCAGACTTGGGTCTTTGGGCATCAGGTCCATGCAGCTGATCTCCCTAAACACTGGGCTATCCAGTCCCTTACACAGTGACTAGCCCCATCTAGGCCTGAGGGTCTCTAGGTGGGGTCCAGAAAGGAAGTCACGATGGGCTCAGAGGGGCAGTATGCCCTTGTTCCCAGCAGCAAGCTCAGGAGGTCAGTCTGCCAGACAGAAACGTCTTCTGCATCAGTGAGTGAGAAGGTTCACCATGGCTTCCACTCTATTCTTACCTTTTCCTGACCCTCTTAGTAGCCAGAAGGTGCTCAGAGCACAGGCTTATGCCGTAGGCCTGAGCGGTGGCCATGTCTTCCTTGTTCCCCCTAGAAGAGCATTTCGTGGTGGCGCTGTATGACTACGTGGCAGTGAATGACCGTGATCTGCAGATGCTGAAAGGGGAGAAGCTGCAGATCCTAAAAGAGTAAGTTTCCAGGATGCTGTCTCGTGGTCAGAGGTCTCTGCAGCTCCCTATCAGAGCAGGACTCCCACCCATCCTCCCATCTGTCTTATTCCACCCGCCATGCTCTCTTTAGCTGCCTCCAGAATATTCTCTCCACTGCCCAGCCCCAGGCCCAGGTACCCAGCATCTTCTTTAACTTGACCCAACTGTCTTTCTTCCATCTGCCTTTCCAAAGTCTTGCTGGTGAGGGGGTGTCCTGCTCCGCTGTCAAAATCCTACTCTTCCTTCAAAGCCCACCTCTAATGCCACCTCCTTCGTGCAGCCCTCCTGACTCCCATAGTGTTCGCCTAGTTGCTCCTCACAGCGTTGTGTTGGAGTCAGTGGTGTCAGTATTTGTCTCCCTCGCCAGATGAGATCGCGTGCGGGATTCTACTTATGAAATCGGCCGTGGTTTATTCCCACTGTTCCTTCTCAGAGACTCCCCCAGAATCTGCTCTCACACATCTGATTGTCCTGAGGGCCTGCTTTGTTCTTGACGTTCTGCAATGACCTTGAGCTAACAGCATGCAAACCCTGACCTTTTGGCCACCCCTGGGCCGCCCGTTCCTCCTGTCACCAGCAGCCCTCCTGTGTTGTCTTTCCTGTCCAGTCCCAACTCGCTCTCTACGTTCTAAAGACGTCCATTAGTCAAGAGGAAGGCTACTCAAGAGGGGCCCTAGTGGGTTGGCCAGGCTGTTTAGACCAGTGGTCGGCAAACTGCGGCCCCTTGAGTGTGGCTCTTCCACAGAATACCACGCGGGGCGAGCACGTACAGTGCGATTGAAACTTCGTGGCCACATTCAAGGGGCCAAAGAGCCACATGTGGCTCGCGAGGGACACTGGTCTAGACCAAATGTCCCCTGGAGGCTGTGCATCCCCCCTCTCCCTGGGCCAGGAGCACCGTGAGTTTGAAATGGCCCAGGTAGTTCCATGTCACTGAGCCCCTTGTGTGAGCTCCCTCTCACCTGCCAGGCTGTCTGCCTCTGTGGGTCCTCTGCCTCCCTGCGAGTCCTGGGGGGCTGTGAGCTGCCGCAGAGAGGCACCCGTCTGAGCCACTCTCTCATTTATGTGTTTCCTTCTTCCCTTAGGTCTGGAGACTGGTGGCTGGCCAAGTCTCTCATCACGGGAAGAGAAGGCTATGTGCCCAGCAACTTTGTGGCCCGAGTAGAGACCCTGGAAGTGGAAAAGTAGGTGGACAGACAGAAGGCCCCTCAAAGCAGAGGCATGCCCCCTGCTTCTGCCACGCAGGGTGTGGCCAGACAGTGGCTAAAAAGTGAGCCAGTGTGAGCCCAGCAGGAGGGAGCAGGAAAGGGTCAGGGAGCTGGAACTCCTGGAGCAGGAAAGGGTCAGGGAGCTGGAACTCCTGGAACAGGCTTGACGATGTTTCAATTGCTGCGTGATCTGAGAGAGTCGCTCCTCTGTGAGCACCTCACTCCCCCATATGAGAACCGACCTTTCCTGGCTCACCTGGACAGAAACGTTCCCCTGTCCCACGGCCTTGCAAGCTAACAAGGAGGCGCTGGATCAGCTCACACTCCCCAGTGCCTCCCGGGGCTGGGGCCTGCGGGACTCCCGGGGTGGTGGCTCATTCAGAATTGGATTATCAAGGAGCAACATCCTTATAACCCCCTGGAAGGTCCGCTGTGGGCCTCAGCCATTCATTCACTCACACAGAGGGCATTGAGCCAACAGGGCCCAGGGCCCGGCTCTGTCCAGGGACTGGGGAAGCTATAAATGAGTAACACGTGGCTCCTCGTGTCAAACTCAGGAGCAAAGCGTAGGAACCGGGTTAGTGGCCCCACCTGGTGTCCCTCGTGCAGCGATGGTAGGTAGCCCTTGGGAGGGTTCCTTGTCTGGCACTCCCGGCCCTGGCCCGGCCCGGGAACAGCATGCACTCCCACGCTGACCAGTCCCTGCGCAGGGGGCCATGGTGGGAATCAGACTCTGAGAATCTACTTCAGAGACCGACTGCAAGGAGAGTGTGCTCTGAGAGTAGGCGGCTGGGCGCCTTTCCCCAGAGCGAAGTTAACAAAGGGCACCCATATAATGGTTTTGTTTCACTTCAAGAAAACAGTAAGTCCAGGAGTGGGAAGAAAGGGGAACACGACACCAAGGGGCATGCGTGGACCCAGCTGGGAGGAGCGCTGGCTCAGGGTGGACCTGGGAACAGGGACACAAATTTTATTTCCTGGGGGCAGAGGCACAGCTTAGGAGGGAGGTTTGGAGAAGAATGAGCCGAGGAGCGTGGCCACTCTCTGAGGCTCGCCTGCCTTCGACCTTTTCCAGGTGGTTCTTTAGATCAATTAGCCGGAAAGATGCCGAGAGGCAGCTTCTGGCTCCAGTCAACAAGGTGGGCTCCTTTCTCATCAGAGAGAGCGAAACCAACAAAGGTAAGCGTGGGCAGAGCCCTTCCCTCCCTGTGTGCTCTGGGCGGCCCCCGCCTGAGGCCTGGCTGCTGCCAGGGCAATGCCAGTCAGGAGAACCTGGCAGCCCCCAGGCCCCAGGCTCCCAGTTCAGGCTGGATTTGGTTCCCTGTGGTTGGCACGATGAGAATGGACAGAGGTTTGGCATTCAATTACACACACACACACACACACACACACACACACACACACACACAGCTCCATTCACGGCCTTAGATCTGCAGCGAGTGGAAACACCAGAGCAGCAGACGCTGGACACAGAGAGCTGCTTATCACACACTGTGAGGCTCAGGGGAGAGCCCTCAGCCTCATGCGTCTCAAAGGGCCGGGGCTGGATTGGAGGAGAAAGGGTGCATTGATGAGTTGGGGTGCTCTGTGCAGACTTCTCTGTGCAGAATTTCCCGAAGTGCACCAATGGATGCATTTAATTATACACACACACACACACACACACACCACACACACAGGGTGGGGAAAACATAGGTTTACAGTTTTTCATATGGAAATAACTAATAAATAATAATGCAAGAATAAAGCCCGTTTCACGCACTCACAACTGCAAACCTACGTTTGGCCCACCTGGTGTGGATATTGCCACTATTCCGTTTTAGTGGCAGAGCACCTGCGTCCAAGAATGAACCCTATGTGTTTTGCTCCTTTTGTGGACTATTTTAACACATACAGCAGTAGAGAGACTGGTATAATGGGACCCCTTGTGCCCAACGCCCAACTCAGCCACCTTGTTTCATGCGTATCCCCACCCACACCTATTATACTGAAGCAAATCCCAGATATGTCATTTCACCCTGGAAGGGATGTTTTTCTCATTGCCTGTGGCTACGGTGTCCTCCTCCCGACCTCGGTGTGGAGGAGGGAGGGGTTCTCTAAGGGTGGGGACCTCCTCCTTGCCCACTGTGGGAAGCTAGTCCCAGATGGGCACTGGCCAGATGCAGCTGGGCTGCAGGGTAATCCAAGCATCGTCACCCCCCACACATACACCTATGCATGCGCGCGCACACTCAGGCACACACACAAGCCCTCAGAACTCCAACGCAAGATCCCTCTGTCTACATCTGTCTACAATGGCTGTAAGACAGGGTAGAAACTCAGAAGCAAGGGGACAGAGTCCTAGCTCCCTGTGGCTTCCAGTTGTCCCTTAGTGTCTCTAGCCTCAGTTTATCGGTATGCATGTGAGCACCCCTTAGTCCAAAAGCAGGTGGGCTTTTGGGGTTAAGAAATCTCCGTCTCTGGGAGCCCAGTCTGCGTGTCCAGCACAGCCCAGAGGCAGGGCAGGGGGTCTGGACTTTGAAGCAGGGGGTGCAGATTTTGTGAACCTGCAGCTGATAGGACTTGGGGGTTCCTTTAAGAAGAATACCAAATTGCAAAAAGATAATAGCAGATCCTTGATGAGCCTGGGCAAGTGAGGGACCGAAGCCGTGAACTTGGGCAGCGGTTCTGGCTGGAAGAGAGCAGGTCTCCTGGGCTCATCGTGAGTTTGTACACGCAGAGTGCAGCCAAGGAAATGGGGAGGGAGCCCTTTGTCTTGCCCCGGTGGTGTGAACTCATTAGAGCCACTCTCCAATTCCTTAAATTCTGGGGCATAGTTGCACCTACTAGGCGCAAGGTGGGAGAGACAGTTTGCAGCCTGCAGTTGGGGTAGGGGTTGCAGGCATGCTGTGGGCTGTGGCCAGAGCAAGGCGCCTAATGCGACACCCACCCTCTTCGGGGTCCTTTTGCAAGTAGGTGATGAGAGAGGCACGATGGTTAAGGCAGATGGGAGGAGAGAAAGAGTTTGAGACAGAGTGATGGTCTGAAAGGAAAGGAAATGCCTGCTGACAAACAGTACAGCCGAAAATCAAGCGTCACGTCCAGAAAAAGAGGTGTTCAAGCCTGACACCTGGTGGGAGGGAGTGGTACTGCTCGCGGTAGGCAAGTCCTTAGGAAGGACTCCAGGGCTCCCAAGCCTGCTGCTTAACTAGCAGAGTGACCAGGGCCAAGCGACATCCCCCTTTGGGCCCCGGCCTTCTTACCTCCGAGTTAGAGTAGGGGCATGGTACCCAGAGAGGCGGTCAGAGGCATTTTATGAAAACATCAAGTTAATGGGAAGAAGTTTCTCAACTGGAAACTCTTGCCTCCTTAACTTACTCTTAACCCCTGGCATTGGCTAGGCGTTGTCTGCAGGCAAACATTAACATAGATGACAAAACACCCTGACATGTGAGTGGATGTGAACAGAACCCCTGGGAAACAGCTGGTTATGCTCTCCCCCCCTGGACAGGGGTGCTTGAGGTTGAGATTTGGTGTTGCATGGGTGAGTCAGAGTCAACCTTTTCAGCCAGAATGAATCAATCAATCAGTCAACCTTTTAGTCCCTCTAACAGCTCTACATTCTCAATATTCCATGGCAAAGGGTCCCCGAGTGACCAGGTGCCCGGTCCTGCTTCCTACGAGAACGTCCTCCCTGCCCCAGAGTTCTTGGTGCCCTGGCTGAGTTGGGGAAACTCTGGCAGGAACATCTAGAACAGAGTCGGATGGAGCTGGCAGGGCAGGCTTCCAGGAGACCTGAGGTTGAGATGAAGGAAAAGGCAGCCCAGGATGGAAGTGGTCAAAATGGAGAGCAGAATGCGGGGAGCTTTTCCCCAAGGCATTGGAATGAAGCCCGCATCCCAACCCAATTCTCCCTCTTTATGCCTCCCTTCTCACGCCTGTGTGTTCATTAACCCTGCAGGTGCCTTTTCCCTGTCTGTGAAGGACGTGACCACCCAGGGGGAGGTGATCAAGCACTATAAGATCCGCTCCCTGGATGAAGGGGGCTATTACGTCTCCCCCCGAATCACCTTCCCCACACTCCAGGCCTTGGTGCAGCACTACTCTAGTAAGACGGGCATGTGCTGGGGGTGGGGACCTGAGCCGGGCAGCCCTTGTATCTCTCTATTGCTAAGATCTCGAGATTGAGAATCATTGGTGCTGTCTTGGAGTTGACACTGTCAACATAGTGATTTAAAGTCTGTGTGCTTAATCCCTTCGACTGAATCAGCATTCAACAACCTGGAGAGCAACAAATATTTTCATCTTAGAGAGAATCAGGTTGATGCTAGCATGCCTTGCTTTATACCAAACAGTTGCAAAGAGCTGAGTGTGCGCGTGTGTGTGCACGTGCACATGTGCACAGGAGCACTTGGGGTGGGGGTGGGGCTAGCAACAGGTGGTGCGGGACACAGCTAAGAGAGGTAAGGCTCTCCAGGAAGAGATGTGAGCCTGGCTGCTCTGGTAACCTCCAGCCCCATTTCTTCTTCTCTAACACAGAGAAAGGGGATGGCTTATGCCAGAAGCTGACCCAACCCTGTGTGAGCCTGGCTCCTCAGAACCCCTGGGCCCAGGATGAATGGGAAATCCCCCGGCAGTCTCTCAAGCTGGTCCGGAAACTTGGATCTGGACAGTTTGGCGAGGTCTGGATGGGTGAGTGTGCGGTATGCCGGGAGCCTCTTGCCCTGTCCTGCGTCCTGACACACAGAGGGCTCAGGATTTGCACAGTGCATCCTGTTTCCCCAGAAAGGCTGTGAGGGAGAAGGGACAGAGGCGATGATACCCATTTCACCAATGAGGTGGTGGAGGCATAGAACTCTGTTCCTCAAATGCCAGAGGGAGGCTGAGACAGGCTGACATCTGGCAAGATAAGCTGACGCATCCATCACCCTCAGAAGCTGTACATTCCAGCTCAGGGCCACTTCCTAAGGGGGTGGCTCTAGCCTCAACCCTCAGCCCACTTTCCAGCATCGGATGGCTCCCAAAAGCTTATGTAGATTTTGGTTAAGGGATCACCTCCCACAACCTCTGGGACTTCTGAATGGCTTCTTCATTCTCTCCCCACCCTGCCCCGTCTCCCGGCTCAGGTTATTACAGAAACAATGTGAAGGTGGCCATCAAGACCCTGAAGGAGGGAACCATGTCTCCGGAGGCCTTCCTGGGCGAGGCCAACCTGATGAAAACTCTCCAGCATGAAAGGCTGGTTCGCCTCTACGCCGTAGTCACCAAGGAGCCCATCTACATCGTGACCGAGTACATGGCCAGAGGTGGTGCCCCGTGGGGGCCTGTGTCCCTCAGACAGAGGCGGGGACGGGGGAGGCTACAGGCTTAGGGGGTGAGAAGGCAGAGGCCCATCTGCTGCCATGGGTTTGCCTGGCAGGGGATCTGTGCAAGGGATCACTGAGCCATGGGCTGAGTGGATTAGCCAACATACTTCTCGCCTAGGGCCTCCCACAGCCATAGGGGACATAGGAGAAGAATAAGACAAGTATTAGTCAGTGGCTCTCTAGAGCTGTGTCCTCCACTCAGGAGCACTTGGAGCATGCCTTCTGTGGCTGGCACTGTTTGACAGCTGCTGGGGAGGACAGACCATGGCCAAGTTAAAAGAGCAGTAGGCTGGGCATCCAGAGCTGGTTCTAGTCCCAGGTCTACCACTCACCAGCCATGGGACCTTTTAATACCATATGGACATTTTACCACACGGTGAAAAGAGAGGTTGGATGCGATGGCCTCTGAGGTTCCAGTGTGGCCAAGCTCTCATGGGGCAGTGGGCCGGGGGTTGGGCTTCAGCCTTTGACCTCCTTCTCACCCCTCCTGTGACACTGACCACACACTGCTTCCTGTGGGTTCTAAGGTGCCATGCTAATATAGATCCTTAAATGTCACCATGAAGGGGGGCCACATTGAGCTGGGGACCCAATGGCTCACCTCTTAGCCACACCTCAGGTGAGTGTCCCTCAGGGCTTTTAGAGACATCAAATCCCAGGGGCTGGGTCTCTCCATTCTGGTGCTGAGAGGCACACTTTCTACCATCAAAGGGTGAAGGGAGCAAGAAAGTCATGCCGGAATGAGCACGGAACTTAGAGTCAGAGGAGCAGGTTCTGCTCCTGGCTCCCTGGCTTGTGACCCTGAACCTGGCTGAAAACTAACCTCCTGTGAGTAGCCGGGAGCATATTAGCTGCCTCCTGGGTGCCGTGGGGACCGAGGTTGGAATTCTGCAGAGCGGAAGGCACTCTGACACTGTGGATGGATTTCTTCTCTGTGGACAAGAGTCTCACAGAGCGCCACTTGCTTCGGGCCCGGGGGGGAGCAGCCCACACCTGGAGGAGGCTGGCCTGGCTGGGGTGGGGTCATTTGCAGAAGTGCAGCTGCAGCTTTCTTTCCTCAGGATGCTTGCTGGATTTCCTGAAGACGGATGAAGGCAGCAGATTGTCCCTCCCAAGACTGATCGACATGTCGGCCCAGGTTTGTGAGCTACCAAGGGCAGCGGACCTGAGTACCAACACCCTCATGGGGGGCCGTGGCCTCCAGGTCTCTCCTCCCTGCCCTCTGGCTTAACAAAATCAACTATTTAGAGGTTGTATCTATCTGATTTAGGCTGGGCTGTGAAGGACAGAAAACCCAAAGTAATAATGGCTTAAATGTGTCAACATCCAAAGGTGAAAAGTCTGGGTGGTTGGTGGACTTGTCTCTCAAAGTCACAGAGACCCAGGTTTCTTCCATCTGCCAGGTGTCTTAGCATGTCATCGGATTGTCCAAGGTGGATGCTCACGCCTTACCATCTTGTCCTCTTCTCAGTCAGCAGGAAGAAGTAAAGGGGTTGAAAGCCCATTTTCCTCCCTAGAGACAGCTCCCTGAAGTCACCCACTACATTGCTCTTTCATCCTCCTGGCCACACCTGGCTGCAAGGGAGCTTGGGAAATGTAGTCTTCATTCTGGGCAATCATGATGGGATGATGTGGGTTCTATCAATAAGGAAGAGAGGGAGAACAGATGGTGGTATGGAAAACCCAGAGAGTTTGCATGAATTCCATGTAACATGGCAGGCAAGTGTTTTGTGGTGACCTCGTTTCTTCCGCAGGAGGTGTCCACAAGCATCTTCTGAGGCAGGGGGGGAATGGAGAGGAGGCTCTTTCCTCCCCAGCGATTTTAGCTGAGGCCTCTCACTGGCAGGAAAACCCATCTGGGGGCCCCGAGTGTGTGTCTGTTAAAACTGGAACTCTCAGCAGAAAATCTGTGGTCAACCTGTGAGACATGTAAATGCACACACACATCCGGCCTCAGAAAGGAAACCTCCCCTCCCCACACACCCCTTCCCCACCCCGGAGGCCTTATCTGCTATTAGTATCGATGCAGGAACTGATGTCACCACACCCTTTTTCCACAGACAGGTTTGAGGAGGCTGGTGAGATGGTCTCGGAAAATTAGCGCTGGTAACCCGTTTCAAACCACATATGAGTGATAAACCCGTGGACTCCTTTCTTTTCCTTCTCTCGTTCTCTCCTGCCTTGTATTCAATCCCGTGGTAATCATGGGTCACCCAGGGGCAAAGGATGTGAAAAGCCACCTCAGTTCATCCCCAGGTATGGCCAAGATGCTGACGGTTAAGAAACCCAAAATCAGAACCTCCCAGGTGATCAGCTTCTAAACCATTTTCTAGTCATGCTAGTACCTCACCACGGGTGCACATGCGTGCACGCACACACACGCAGACACTCAAACTCAATGCCCTTCTGGGGGCACCTTTCCTGCTCTATAGGATGGAATGCAAAGCTCCCCTCCAACCACAACCCCAGGCGCAGCCACATGGCAGCTCTCTGATACCTTGAGAGCCTTTGCCCGGGCTCCTCTCTTCTCCGAATGCCTTTGACTCTCTTCTCACCTGGAAGAATCCTAATCAATGTTCATGACCCAAGTTAAGTGTCGTCTCTAGTAAATGTTCCCTGGACAGAAAAGTGCTAGAGAGCACTTAGCTCGTATGTTCTCGTTAGCATCATGCACGGTTGATTCTTCTCCTTGAAAGCAGATCTGGGTCCTACTCAACCTTCTTTCTTTCTCTCTTTCTTTCTTTCTTTCTCTCTTTCTTTCTTTCTTTGGTATTTCTAGTACTACTCGATACATATTTTTTAATGGGATGAGCGCTGCTAAATGCTACTCGATACTCGATACTTAGCTTTATAGTCCCCACAGTATCATACCAGTAAATGTGTGTTGATGGAACGATTTAGCAAAGGAATGAATTCATTCCTTCATGGATAAATCAATACACTTGGGAACAGAAGGAGAGGTGGGATTAATCCCAGTGCTGGCTTCTTGCCGCCACAGGTCTGAGATGATTAACTGGCTTGCTATGCTCTGCCTCAGTTTCTTCATCTGTCAATGGGAGTGCCGAGAATGAGGCCTGAGTGAGTTTCCTTGGCTAAAGGACACACGAGCAGCACAAACAGCTATTCCGGCCCAGTGCTGGTGACAGGGGACAGCCATGGCATCTCCTCTTCTTTTCCTGCCTCTGTTCCATTGGGATTTGGCCCCTGCTCCCTGAGGGCCCGCCCTGGAGCAGTGCTGGGTTAGGCTCTCAGCCACCTGTCTCATTTTATGCTCACCTCCACTCTATGCCCTGGACACCCCTTTCCTGTGTTCCAATAAGTTCAGTGACAACTTGGGGAGCTTAAGCAACAGGCCAGGGGTCAACAACTCCAAACCAGGGCACCCTGCTCCAAAACCTGTGCTTCCAACAGGCCAAGAAAATGAAACCCTCTCCCCCTTCCCCTCTCCCTCCTGCCCCTTCCTTTTCTTCTCCCCTGCCCAGAAACCCCCCTTTTCTCCTGTCTTCATTCTGCTGTCTCCCTCCCCTGCAGACACCTGGAAGGAGAGGAGAGGTAGCCCCTAGCTCTGATGGCGGTGTCTCTGCCTTTCTGGGCTTCGAGGAGACAGGGGTGTGTAGCTTCTTCAGCTGAGGACAGGGGAAGCCTTTCTACTCCACCCAAGAACCTGCTCCTTCTCCAGCACCACCACCCTCCATGCACCTACCCAAGACAACAAACATCAAGCATTCCTTCCCTCCCCTTCCAGACTGAGAGGATGAAGGATGCTTCTACAGACAGGCTGGTGGTGAGGGTGGGCAGGGTCCTTCCTCTCCCGCATAGGGACTTTGTAGGGCAACCCCAGATGGGCGAGGTCCTTGCATGGAGGTCCCCATGCTGCCCTTCGCTTTGTGGCATGTTCCCCCAGATTGCTGAAGGAATGGCGTATATTGAGAAAATGAATTCAATCCACCGTGACCTCCGGGCGGCCAACATCCTGGTGTCTGAGACGTTGGGCTGCAAAATCGGTGACTTTGGCTTGGCCCGGATCATCGACAATGAATACACCGCCCAAGAGGGTGAGCAGAGACTCCCAGCCATGGGGAGACCTTGGGACTTAACCTGCCCCAACTCCCAACCCCCCTTGGACTTCTCCTCGTCCCTACATAGCAGAGCCCTGGGTGAAGAGATCAGAGAGCTGTGGGGTTTCCACAATTCTGGCCTTACCCTCGGTGGATCAGCTTTTCCCTAACTGTGCTCTGCAGAGCACTGGTGCCCTCTGAGGAATGGCTGTGTGAAGCAGGTCTGCAGATAATGCAAAGTCCATCCAGGGCTCCCTTGGTGATTTCCAAGGCACACCAGCATATTAAAGGCACTGAGAAGTCCCGCAGGAAAGCCACTGTGTACATTTGCTTCACTCCTCCAAACTGATTTGAGCCCAGAATACGTTTCCACTTTATCATCGACTAACCTCCCATAGAACTAGGGTTTCAAAGGACACACTTTAGAAGGCACTGCTCTCAAGTATGAGCAGCAAAACCTTATACCTGAATTAGATTTCCACAGAGCCCTTTAGTATAACTGAAGTAAAACTCCTCTTCACCAGGGGAATCGAAGTGGTCACATACATTTATCAAGCAGGCTGACAAGCCATCTCAGTTGAGCACATTAATCAGTGGGTGCAGGAGAAGGATCAGTATGGCTCATCCCCTGAGGGACCTCAGGCTGGCTGGGGAGGCGGAGAACGCTAGGCGAGGTGGGAGCAGGCCGGGTGCTGAGCCATGCCATCCGCTCTGAATGCTGATCAGGCGGCAGCCATCCGTAGGGCTTCGTGGGGCAGTGGCATTTGAATCCCCTCTTCACTGTGACTCTCAGAGATACATAAATCATCATTTCCACTGTGCAGGAAAGGATTAACAGGCAGGGACAAGCTAAAGTGACTCACCCAAGCCCTGAGTCCCTGTTATTCACAAGGCCAGGTCAGGGGGAAAGGGACGCCTCTGTCCAGATGGAAACAGGGGGTGGTTGCCCAGGGAAGCCCCCTGGGCACAGCCCTAAAGAGGGTGACCAGGGTGATGTTTGTGTCCCTATTGTCCTTTCATGCTGTGGCTCCCCATTGTCTGCACGCACTTGGCCATGCGTCCTAGTGAGTCTCAGTGACTCTCTGGACAAATACAAAAGCCCTGCAAGATGCAGTCGCTGTGGGGTGGGAGGAACAGGAAGAGCAGGAAGTGGGGGTGTGGGGTCAGTCAGCCATGGCCTCACGGAGCTGCTCATGGCTTTCCCCGCAGGGGCCAAGTTCCCCATCAAGTGGACTGCCCCGGAGGCCATCCATTTTGGGGTGTTCACCATCAAGGCGGACGTGTGGTCATTTGGCATCCTCCTGATGGAAATCGTCACGTATGGGCGGGTACCCTACCCAGGTAGGCAGTTTCTTCCCGTGGCGGCTCTCGGGTCCCCAGCTGTCCTGGGTGGTTGTGATGGCAGACAGCCAACCCTTGAGCCTGGGGTGCCCAAATGTATGTCAGAATGGAGTCTCGATTGTGGGGACAGTAGCCAGGCATACCAGTCTGGAGGGGCGGGGGGGGGGGGGGGCGGTGTTCTGCCCCCTTCTTTTAAATATATCTTATTGATTTTTTTACAGAGAGGAAGGGAGAGGGATAGAGAGTCAGAAACATCAATGAGAGAGAAACATCAATCAGCTGCCTCCTGCACACTCCCCACTGGGGATGTGCCCACAATCAAGGTACATGCCCTTGATCGGCATCAAACCTGGGACCCTTGAGTCTGCAGGCTGATGCTCTATCCACTGAGCCAAACCGGTTACGGCTGTTCTGCCCCCTTCAACATCGCTCTTGTCAACAGGGCCGCGCCCCCTTCCTCCCTAGGGCTGCATCAGCCCCAAACCTGGAAATAAGAAAAGGTCAGGGTCTGACTCTTTTACTCCCAGTTGGTTTGATCTCAGTGGAGGCCTGGGCCTTGGGAGTAGCCCCTCCCTGGTTGTAAAACCCGGGACCCCGCCCCAGTCAGAAGGGCCTGGGCCGCTGAGCAGTCTCTCCTAATGAATGGGTGGTGCGTTCTCCCCAAACACCTGCCCAGCGAGCGAGCCATGCGCTGCGGCTGCGTGTCAGGCAGTCACAGAGACGCCAGGTAGGGTCCCACCCGCGGAGGAACTGGCCGCACTGAGGGCAAGCGCACAGCCTCATTGCCAGCGGCGCTCCGCGCAGTGGAAAGTACAGAAAGGCCCGTTTCAAGGGGGCACCCGGCGGGCAGCCACGTGACCGGCGGGCGAGGAGACCGCGGTCGGTGCCTCCCGCTCCCGCCGCCCTGCAGCCGCCCCGCGTCCCCTCTGCCTCCAGGAATGAGCAACCCCGAGGTCATCCGCAGCCTGGAGCGCGGCTACCGCATGCCGCGCCCCGACTCCTGCCCGCCCGAGCTGTACCGCGGCGTCATCGCCGAGTGCTGGCGGAGCCGGCCCGAGGAGCGCCCCACCTTCGAGTTCCTGCAGTCGGTGCTGGAGGACTTCCACACGGCCACGGAGCGGCAGTACGAGCTGCAGCCCTAGCCCGGCGCTCCCACGCATCCGCGCCGCGGGCTCCGGGTCCCAGGGTCCCAGGGTCCCACACCCGTGGCCCGACCCACAGAAGGGAGGAGGCAGGTTCCCCTCGCGGCTCTGAACCGCACCGGCTGGAAAGGCAGGAGGGGGCTGGCTCGCCCTTTTCTCGCGTGAGGAAGCTAGGGGCGGCCTGGAGGGTGGTCCTCAGCCTGGGCTCCGAGCCGGGCCCCATTGCAGCCCCACCCTTCTCGGGCTGTGTGTCCTTGGGCAAGTTACTTAGCTTCTCTGTGCCTCCGCCACCTCCTTTGTGCAGCAGGAAGAACTGTTATAGTACCTACCTCGTATATTCCTTGGGTTAACCGGGGAAGATGCTCAGAACAGTGCCTGGCACGCTCTGTAGTGTTTGTCATCCTATAAGGCTCCCCTGTGTGGCGCGGGGGACCGGGAGTGCCGGGCTCCCGCCTGCGCGGACCGCCTCCCCCCTGGGGATCCCTTGCGCCCACCCCAGAAGCGGATCTGGGTCCTCCCCGACGTGGGCGCCTTGGCTCTGGGAGGGGAGAGCACTTTGCGACTTTTCCGTAATAAAGTCACGATATCTGAGCTTTCCCGTGTCGTTGCTGGTGACACGCCTGGTCCTCGCATCCATGACTTACATGGATGCATGTAGTGGCGCCGCTAGGGGCTCGTGGATGATAGTGGGTCTCGGGTGGAAACCGAGTCCCCAGCGCCAGGACAACGGCGCAGACCCAACTGTCACTGCTTCTAAGCAGGGCCAGCAGGGGGCGCCCTCACCTCAGAAATCTTTGGTCTCCAGGTCCGAGTTAGGGATCCTCAGCAAAGCCTCAGAGCTGACGGAAGGAGCCTCCCTTCTTGGGGGCTTGCACAGAGAAGAGGAACAAGCACCCTGGGCTCCGAGGTGCGGGAGCGGGGGTGGGGGGGGGGGGGGGGAGTGCGGACAGTGGTGGCTTGGACAGATCTCCACCAGGAGGTCCAGGATGCTGGAGGTAGAGGCCCCAGGGGGCTCTGGGGAGTTGCCTTAGACCTTTCCCTGGAACCCAGAGCTCTTACATTCTCTCAGAAAAAAAGCACAGCTCACACCGCCCCCTCCCCCATCCCCAGGGGATTAGCACCCACACCCTCTCTCCCTAGAATCTCTAGGAACCTGGGGTAAGGGGTGTGACCAGTGGGAACTTAGCTGGAATGCAGGACACCAGAGAGCTGACTGAGCCTTCAGGGGTGGGTGTATCGGATAGACACAAATACTAGTGGCGGTGCTCATGGGTGAGAAGGGCACCTACGGGTGCCTTCGGAGGTAGGGATGGGAAAGGACCCAATATCTGTAGGACGCGGGATGCGTCTCTTCTTCCAGTTTCGCAGCCCATACCTCAGGCTTGAGTACCACCTCCTGGACCCCACCGCCTTCCCGTGAAGGTGAAGGGAGTCACCCAGTCCTCGGCCAACCTCACTATTCATGAAAACTACCTCCATTGTGTTAAAACACAGGTGGCTAGACCTCTCCGTGTCCATCCAGCAGGTCTCAGGCAGCATCTGGAAACTTCATCTTTCCTGAACGCCCCATGTGATCCGGGCTTAGACCGTGGTCTGGGTGCATGTAAGGATCGCTGTGAGAGGGAAATGGGGGGACAGTGTGGGGAGGGCACATTGAAAATAATTCCAGATGGGGTGGGGCCCTCAGCACATTTTAGAGGTCCCCGGCTGGCTAACGTTCATCAGGATGGAACCGCTGGGCTAGGCGTGGGGTTTGGAAGTCCCCTCACCTGTGGGGCTGGCTGCCAGTGACCGGGGCACATTCTCAATGACACGGTGTCAGGCAAGGCAGTCACATCTTCTCCACCTCCCCCTCCTCAGGGTCGTTTCCTAGAGAAGGAGATGCTGGAGCTTGAAGGACCAATGAGACTTTTCCCCACTAGGAGGCGCCCTTGCCTTAGCGGTAGCCTGAACTGAGCCAGTGTCCTGGTGGTTTTTGTTAGGTGTATAAGTGACCATAAAGGACAAGAAGCCTTCTGATTCCCAGCCGGAGAATGAAGTGTGAGAGGGTGTGGAGAGATAGAGAGAGACAGCAAGACAAAGAGAGGCAGGGAAAGAAAGACAGAGACACACAGAGAGAAAACAGAAAGAAACAGAACAGAGAGAGTACATGAATGGACCAAAAAAAAAAAAAAAAAGGCAGCGTTTCCTGCTCTGAGAGCTTGTCTTACAAGTGGGAGGGGAGACTATTCAAGGCTGTGGAGGCCATATTCTCCCAACCATAACCTGCACGTGTGAGGATATTGGAGAGGGGCCCAGGCCGGGGACGTCTGGAGCATATGATGGCTGCCCGCGCACCCAGAGCTCTGCGGAGGAGTGGGCCCAGCCTTGGACCCCAGGTGCTGTCTTGCCTGCGATGAAGACTGTGCTTCCTCCCAGAGCCAGCACACACTTACACACTTGCATCTGTTGTAAAATGAGTCTCAACAAGATTTTCGAGGTCGGGTAGACCTGGGTTTCAGTGCAAGCACTTTTCTCTCCTTGGATGTATGACCCTTTGAGGCACTTTGCTTCACTTCATTGGGCCTCAAGTTTCTTCATCTGTAAAATGGGCACACTAATAACACATATGTTATAAGCTCATTTTGAGGTCTAGGTGACATAGTACATGTGAGGCATTTATCAGAGTGCCTGTCTTTTAAAAATATATATATTTTATTGATTTTTTACAAAGAGGAAGGGAGAGGGATAGAGAGAAACATCGATGAGAGAGAATCATCAATCAGCTGCCTCCTGCACACCTCCAACTGGGGATGTGCCCGCAACCAAGGTACATGCCCTTGACCGGAATTGAACCCAGGACCCTTCAGTCCGCAGGCCGACGCTCTATCCACTGAGCCAAACCGGTTAGGGCCAGAGTGCCTGTCTTATGGTACATGCTCAGAAATGTTAGCTCTTATTATTTTACTATGTCTCCCTCAAGAAAGTCCTTCCGAGACCCTGATCCACAACTTTCACCGCCCTTTGCTGGGTTTCCTCTGACCTCTGTGATATGTACTCTACCTGTTGCTATGATTTTTGTTTGTTTGTTTGTTTACTCCACACTCCTCACACCCTTGGGCTGGAACTGGGAAATAAGTGCATGGGGTTTGAAGTTAAGGACCTAGGTTTGCCCAACACTTTTCAGCTGTGTGACTTTGGGCAAGTAACTCAAGTTCTCTAAGCCTCAATTTTCTCAGCTATAAACAGGGAGAACAGTGACTCCCTTACAAGGTTGTTTTAAGGATTTAAAGAGGACTCTGAAAACAGAACGGCACATAGATTGCCACAACAAACACCACAGGCTGGGCTTCGGCCACAGACATGCATTTTCTCACAGCTCTGAAGACTAGAAGTTCAGATCAAATGTCAGCAGGGTTTCTTCCGAGGCCTCACTCCTTGGCTTTCAGACGGGCGCCTCTCCCTCTGTGTTCTCAAGTGGTCTTCCTCTGTGTGTCTGTGTCCTAATCTCCTCTTCATTTTTTTTAAAAAAAAAATTTTTTTATTAATTTTAGAGAGAAAGGGAAAGAGAGAGAGAGAGAAACATCAGTGATGAGAATCATTGATCAGCTGCCTCCTGCACGCCCCCTACTGGGCGCTGAGCCTGCAACCAGGGCATGTGCCCTGACAGGGAATCGAACCGTGACCTCCTGGTTCATAGGTCAATGCTCAAGCACTGAGCCACACTGGCCGGGCCTAATCTCCTCTTCTTTTTTTTTCTTTTTTTCTTTTTTTTAATATATTTCATTGATTTTTTACAGAGAGGAAGGGAGAGAGAGATAGAGAGTTAGAAACATCGATGAGAGAGAAACATCGATCAGCTGCCTCCTGTACATCCCCCACTGGGGACATGCCCGCAACCCAGGTACATGCCCTTGACCGGAATTGAACCTGGGACCCTTCAGTCCGCAAGCCGACGCTCCATCCACTGAGCCAAACCGGCTTCGGCAATCTCCTCTTCTTATAAAGATGCCAGTAATATTGGATTAGGGTCCATCCAATGACCTTATTAGACTCTATCTCCAAATAGTCACATCCTGAGGTTCTGGGAGTTAGGACTCAATGTGGGAATCGGCCGGGGGGCAATTTAGCCCATAGCAAATAGTAATACATAAATGTAATAATTATTTCTTCTTTTGTATTTTCTTTTTCATATTATTTCTTATTCCTATTTCTTCTTTCATATATTCCACTATACCTGCCCAGTGGTAGGCCCATGGTAGGTACCAGTGTATTCTCCTGACTGGCTGACTAGTTTCAGAAACAAGAATATTTGCTGTGGCCCTAACCAGTTTTGCTCAGTGGATAGAGCGTCGGCCTGTGGATTGAAGTGTTCCGGGTTCAATTCCGGTCACGGGCATGTACCTTGGTTGCGGGCACATCCCCAGTAGGAGGTGTGCAGGAGGCAGCTGATCGATGTTTCTAGGTCTCTATCCCTCTCCCTTCCTCTCTGTAAAAAATCAATAAAATATATTAAAAATAAAAAAGAAAGAATATTTGCTGTGAGTAAACTTCCCATCCACAAATCAGGAAGATCCAATGCGAAGCTGGAATACCAGTGGGCCAGCTTTAAGCAAACTCCATGTGAAAATCCAGATTTCCATGAAAGATAAAATGGTCTTTAATGGTTTTTTATAAGAGGTTCCACCACATATTCCTTTAGGTACTTTAAAAGCAGTACTCAAATTCCCCCCGGCTTCATGCTGTCCTTTTTTAAATTGTGGTAAGATACACATCACATAAAACTTACCGTCTTGGGCTTTTTTTTTTTTTTTTTGCACGTTTATTAAAGCTGGGTACAGTGAAACCAGGAAGGGCTTAGGATAGAAGAAGCAACTGGAGAGCCCAGGCAAGGCTGCTTTGGCCTCTAGAAAAGTTATGGGAAAGAAATGAGCCAAGGAGGCTGCTTTCAGCTCATTGGAGAGTCAGCGAAAAGGGGGCACTGGAGACAGGTTCAGGGGGTTAGCCCAGGAGGAGCTGCTGCTGCCCACTGCCCCCTGGGGTCCCCTAGAAGATGCACGCTTGTGGGGGAAGAGGAGGAGAAGGGAAAGGCGCGGTGTGCTCCCGGGATGAGAGAGGGCCTCTTCATAGGCATTCTTAAAGTGTACCGTTTAGTCGTGTCAAATACATTCCCATTGTCGTGCAACCGTCACCACCCATCCATCTCCAGAAATTTCCCCAAACTGAAACTCTGTCCCCATTAAACAACTCCCTATTCCCCTCTCCTCCCAGTCCCTGGCAACCACCATCCTACTTTCTGTCTCTATGAATCTAACTACGCTAGATACCTTATGTAAGTGGAAGCATACAGTATTTGTCCTTTTGTGACTGGCTTATTTCACTCAGCATGACACCTTCCATTTTTATCCATGTTGTAGCATGGGTCAGAATTTTCTTCCTTTTAAAGGCTGAGTAATATTCCATTGCCTATATCACATTTTGTTTATCCATTCACCTGTCAATGGACACTTGGGTTGTTTCCAGCTTTTAGCTATTGTGAATAACGCTGCTAAGAGCACAGGAGTGCAAATATCGCT